AATAATATTTTATTGTTTACTTTTCTTATGAAAATCTTTCCTTCTATGAAGCTGTGAGTTGAAGTCATTTTTTTAAAACTTCAAAATTTCTGTCCATTATGGCATCCATATCAACACCTGCCATTGCCAGCTTCTTTACTTTGCGAAGAGAATCAGGCATGGCCTTTGCTATTAACATAGGCATAACAAGTTGCTCATCATCATCATCAATTTTATTGTGTATATCATCACAACAAGCTCCTAGTTCATTAACTGTTGAAAATCAGACTGCATATAATCAAATTTTCTGCTTTTGGCAAATGGTTCATGTTTATTTTTACGCATATAATCATATTGGCATTTGATAAATATATTTTGGAGGAGGGTTTTCTGTACACACACACAAAAATGGAGGGAACGAAAAAGCCACCCACTTTTTAATAAGTTCAGTTTCCTGCCTCTGCATCAGGCCAATTTCTTGGGTTGGCTATTTGAATAAGTAGAAATGCACTCTTTTAATGCTTCAGACTCCCTGCATTCCTTGCAAGTCTCAAGATTGCAGTCACAAACAGTAGCTTGATTTGTTTCTGCCTTACTTACCACAGAACTTCACTAGCTGGGAACATAAACAATACTGGTTAACTTACCCATGTGTGTTATAAACAGTGTTGTCAGTTGTAACCACTCCCAGATTTTACACACTTTTGGATAACTGGGTTTGGCATCATGAAAGAATGATTCTTGTTTCTGCATTCTGTCATCAAAGATTATCATCCTCTTCTTATTTTCCATATTTTTATCACCTTTGACTAAAAACGATCCCGAGAGCACGTAGTTAAGCTATGGACATCCTGTCGCGGTACACTCTGTATTGCAGACAACATCTCAGTGCTTCACTTCTTATTAATGTTTTAAAGGCAAAGAAGTCATTATTTACACAGCTGGTATTCATGTACCTACAGAGCAGATAAGAGAATTTTCTACCTTTGGCATGAACGGTGTGCTGAGACATTCCTTTAACTAGGTGTGCCAGTGCTGCAAATAACATATGCAGGTTTCTGAGCATATTTGCCAAAAACAAGAGGCGATTTTAACATAGTTGTATTCATACGTCATTAAAAAGAGGTTCATCTGTACAGGTGGATAGATTCCCATTTGATGAGGATGTAAAGGGTTACAGTAGCATATCACATAAACATTCCATGCATTTAAAAATATTTTTGTTTTTAGGACTATGTACCGTCTCATCTAGACATTCTGCATGCACGCAAAGCTACAAAGGGGATCACAGAATTTGTTATCCGTATCAACAACATACCTTTCCAGTTTGTGGATGTTGGTGGTCAGCGGTCACAGAGACAGAAATGGTTCCAGTGCTTTGACAGTGTCACTTCAATTCTCTTTCTTGTATCATCTTCTGAGTATGACCAAGTGCTGCTGGAGGACAGGTCAGTATAAATTAAAGTGGAATAGCTTTGGCCTGTTGCCATTTATGTTTATGTTGACACTGCCTGAGTGTCTGGGACTGTTAAATATTAAATGAATATGACATATTACTTTTGCAGATTGTATATATTTTTTCAAAAATATAATTTACACCACAATAAAATTGTGACAGAATATCTGTTAAGATATTTAACATATAATATATGTATACATTGTTTTTAATCTCTTTCTCTGAGGTACTCAAAAATGCAGTTGGATGTGGCCCAGTGGGGAGTGCCATTACACTTGTAGGATGTTTGAATTTCATATTCTGACTGTTCTCCCCCCCAATTTTTATGCACAATGTACAGACTTTTGCACACACTGTTTTTTCTAAGTGGAGATGCAGCACTTACAGGACCTATGCCTACTTTACATGAACCCTTTGCTTACATTATATGAAATCTTTATAATATTGGGTATACCGTTAATCGTTAGATTGGATCTGGCAGCTGACATGACACACTTCTTGCATATACTTGCTATGGTAGCCAGTTATTCATGGCTTGCTTTACTGCTGTATTTATTTTATAGAACAGACTCGAAGTGACGACTCTCTGCTACTAAGCATGCGTCACATCAGGAGAGTGTGTTCCTAGACACACATTGAAGTTGCTGTACAGGAATAGCAGAAATTTCATGCCTATTTTCTTGAAGTTCCTCTATAGAGTGCAGATTTTTCACATACACTTTTTCTTTTAGCATGCCCCACTAATAGAAGTCACGAGGATTTAAATCAGGTAATTGCAAAGGCCACAATTCTTGACTTATAACTCATTCACTGAAGACTTCATATAATGCAACCATAGAATTGTTCACAGTGTTTGCATTTTCTTGCATAAAATGCCTGCCTATACGATTTTTCTTCAACAGTCAGTTAATCGCAGAAGTGTAAGAGAATCAATCTCTCATAATGTTCAGTATTGTTTCATAAAAACTCCAGTAAGTTGTCTGTAATAGGTACTATTAAGTTGGTAACTCTAGCGGAGGGTCATGTGAATCGAACTCTGAATTGCATATTGGCTCCACATGAGCTGCATACTGGCTCAGCGAGCCACTCAGTTGTGCGGCTCACGGGCTCACGTGTTAAAGCAGTCTAACTGTACCAGGGGGTCCAACAGATAGGTTTTCTATCCTCTTCCCCCTTTTACCTGAAGACAAGAAAAGTTCAGCTTCTGAAACATTGTAGTTTTATGATTTGATATTTAGACAGTGGACAGTCCAAAAAAAAAATTTATTTATTATAACACACCATTGTCAGAAACCTTCAAACTTCATCTAAATCTGTACTTAATGTTGACCTTGGCGCTAGATGGAAGTGTGATCAGATTTGAACTCCAGCTGCCTTACTTACCGCAGGAAGAAAAGCCCTCAGTACCCACTGGTTGGGCTGGATGGTTGCCAGAGACAATCTGAATGGTATCATCCAGCTTGTATCCAGTCACGGTACCAAGAAGGGTTCAAGAGGAAACAGGCAGAGGGTAACCTGCAAATAGCATGATTTTCATTCTATTTTCATAGTTTTCATTCAGAGATATTAGCACTTCAATTTTTCCCATGTAATATCTGTTCCCAAGTTTTTGAGATGACAATTTTTTTCCCATTCATTCTGAACACATTTCACTGCTAGATTATAATAATCTGCCCTCTATGAATAATTATGATTTTACATTCATGGATCCCTTTTATGTCTACTTTACATGATGTATATGAAATGAATGCATATGCAGACTGTACCTTGTCTGTCCACGTGATTCAACATAAGAACTGCTGGGTGGATTTGGATAACATTTGGTCTGGACTTTATATCATTGTTGTTGACTCTAGAATTGTATTTTTCAATTTCTTACATTTGGTAATATCAACATGGTGGATGAACATCTTGTGAGGTATGATCAACACAAATTCCACACTGTGGGGTCATACAGTGATGTACTATAAAAAGTTTTAAAAACAACACAACTTTGGTATAATGTAAAATAACGATATGACAGCTGCATGAAATGAAAAAGAATTGATGTGACCTCTCAATCCTGTGACCACATGTACAAGTCCAGAACACTTCTACAAAGTTCACTTTGTGCTGTATGATACTTAAGACACTTCAAACACATGTACTGTTCGCGACCGTAATCTTGAGACTTGCAAGGAATGCAGGAAGTCTGAAGCGTTAAAGGCTACTGCATAGCAGACTCTATCTTTCCTCCACCCCATTTTCTCATCCCACAAGTCTCAAGATTACAGTCGCGAACAGTACTTAAGGCTTTAAGAACACATGTCTGTAGTTAGAAACTAAATTTGTCTAAGCGTGATGACTGACATATTTTGAGAATACTTTTTCTATAGTCTGTTGTAATCAATCCTAGGATTGGTTGCCAGCGGCTCTTGAGCTGCTGATACTTGGGAAATCCTGAGGATCTTTAATGCGGTGGATTCCCCTTGCCTTCCACATTCTATGCCGTTGACCCATGAGGGTGTCTTGAACCTCCACCCGCTCATCCACCCTCCGAAGAGGCTGTTGACACTTGGTAGAGGGGGACCACTTACACTGGTGGTCATTTGGTCTGTGGACGCAGTTTAACGTCATGCCCGGGACTAACTTTTTCTTTAACATGTACAAATTAAGAGACTTTCAACATGTGTCATAGGCTGTACATTGCATTTATTGATCAGATTGTAATAGAAAATCAGGGCCTTCTGAATCCATGCTGTTCCCTCAACAGTCGGTTCCTGATTAACAGTTTAATGGACAGAGAAGAAATAAAGCAATATTTAAAATGTATGTTCGTGCATTTTTATGAGAACTGTGAAAAATATATACATATGATTGTAATTTGTTCATTTCTTTTGTTAATGAAGAAGATAAGTAGACAGTGGTTAATTAATAAATCTTATGTTGAAGAGAGACAAATAAGTTTGTACAGCACCTGCAGTCTGTTGCGGTGCATAAGTGGATAATACTGATGGTAATGCTTGCATAGTAGTCCCTGTGTGTATAATATATTTTTTATTTCAGCTAGGAGAATTTGTATTTAAAAACTTGCAAAGAATACATGTGGGAACACTCCCGGTGCAGATTACACCTTTTCGGTCCTGTTTTAACTGTAGACAACACAAAGGACAACTAGCAGGCTGGGTCCTGCTATTATTTGCTATTGTTCTGTTCCGCATATATACACGTACATATGAATACAAATTTAAAAATGACTGATGTGAAGAACTTATAGCAATTGTTTTAGTTCTCCTTTAATGTTCATGTGTCATTTCTAATAAATTTTCTTTTCTTTACAGACGCACAAACCGCTTGGAGGAATCACGGAACATATTTGACACAATTGTTAATAACCTAGTGTTTCGTGGTGTGTCCATTATTTTGTTTCTCAATAAAACAGACCTACTTGTTGAGAAAATTCGCTCAGGTATTTCAGATGTGCGTGCATATTTTCCCCAGTTTACTGGTGACCCACGCAACTTGTCTGATGTTCAAGCATTTATTGTAACTATGTTCACAAGTGTAAAGAGAGACCCAAGGAAGCCATTATTTCATCATTTCACGACAGCTGTTGACACAGAGAATATCAAGGTTGTGTTCAATGCTGTTAAAGACACTATCCTACATAGGAACCTTGAGTCGCTCATGCTTCAGTGACAACTTGTTCAGGTTGGGAGCTGGAGAAGTGTTAGTCAGTTTGTTAGATTCTTCTTTGTATTGGAATGCAGTAAACTAATTGCATGATTTTGTACCTCATTTATTACCTGGCCATCTGTTGGATTCATATCTATAATACTGCAGTTATGTATTAAGCTATGTCTGCGTTCTTAAGATTTGGATGTTGCTTTGTTCAATATCTTGGGTTGCATTATTTTACTGTTAAGACTCCCACTGACTGAAAAGTCTGGAGAAAAAAGGAGAAACAATTTGTCATAATAAGCACTCCTGTCTCATTTCTGACATACTTTGGCAATATTTGAAAGGTATTTTTCAACTGAATAAATCTCTGAAAAGCAGTCAAAATGTATAAACCAGTGGTGGAGCATTTTTTCAGAATTGTTAGCCAAATTTCAAGGTTGGGGGGTCATGACAATTTTTGCAATTGATTACATACATTGTACAAGACAGCTATGCAGATTTGGGCAAAAAATTATGAAAGAGGAAAGAAATATAAAGAAAGAGAAAAATAGTTAGTGGCTTCTGAGTGTTCCATATTTATTACACCTTGAACTTCAGTTTTTTCAGTGAAAATAATGTCTTGGAGTTACAGGGGTTGAGACTGTTTTCTAATTCTTGAAGTTCAGTGTTGTACCAAGAATCAGAAAAATTGCATAACCTGTTCTTTGATTGTTTCACCATTTTTTAAGGAAAATGTTTGATCTTCCTATTTTAATTATTTTTCTCTTTGAAGCAAAATATGTACAAGAAATTTACCATTTTGATTAGTCCTGTACAACACAGTCACAATCTTCATCCTCCATAATGCACAGCCACAAGTCATAACGTGGCACACACCCACAACAAAGGTTACACAGTTAAAATTGCAATAAATGTGATGCATCTCACTACATCAAAAGCCAGCACACAAGCAAGTAGATTGTTAAAAGTCAAGATTTTGCTAATATCTTAGCTTTCAAAGTCACACAGTCCCTTTGCACTGCAACTCTTCACTGTACTATATCTCTTCTTGGTGTGTCTGCACAAACAGCAGGCCGATATTAAGGAAGGACTAGGTGGCTTCCAGTTGCTCACTGGTTGTTGCTGCTAAAGATACATTTTATCTGATCACTTCTCATCTCTGTGTTCCAGTGTATGGCATACCGTAGAACCATGAAAGTGAGACTTTGTTATTTTTCATTTTTGAAAGTGTTTGCCAGGCTAATGTGGCTGACATGAATGCTCCACTGCTGGTATAAACTGCTTGAACATATAGAGTGTGAAATATTTAAAATGCTTTCAACCATTTATTCAAATTGTTTTTAATTTCATGATGAAACAAGTACTGGGTCAAATGTTATAATTTTTCACTTTAATTTATTGTGATCTGAAAAGCAAGTATGCTCATAAATATTAATTTTGTGAGCAGAATTCCTAAGCCATTACTTTCTCTTAAAATCTGTAGGTGTTACAATGTTAATCACACACGATTTTAATGCTGACTGTTATATACTATGGTTCTTCGGTAGGTACTGTCAGTAAAATAACGGAATATGACATTTTGGCAAGTTTATTAATTTCTTTAGTTATTTCTGGCAGTAACTGATATGGTAGATCTTCCTTGAGGAAATGATACTTGGTCGAGAAATTTCCCTTTTTAACAGAGCCAGAAGCTTCATTACTGTGTGCACAAAAGTCTGTCATTAGACTCTCGTCTACAAGGTCATTCCAGTTAACATCTTCACATGTCCTCAGATCATACAAAAGAATCTGTACATGTCTGCAGTATTCTGTGACATTTATATATAGTGAGGAGTTTGCCTGTTTAGTAATTTGCTCTTTAGGAACCCGAAGGTTCATAACCAGTGTCACAAAATGTCTACCCATGTCAAAGTTTTATAAATGCTTACAAGCTTTCTGTCCACACCCCCACCAAGCTGAAGGATTACCCCTTGTCAGCTGTTTATAACGTTCAACACATTCATAACTATCCCCCATACTGAAGGCTGTCTCATGTGTCAGTAAGCTAAGGATGTACTTAAATGACTGCATCTTACAGATTACTTTGTTTTTTTATCATTCTTCTTATGGTTTGGTCGTGTGCAGTATTTTCCAGT